ACAAAAATTAAATAAAAAATCCCAATATCAGTGTGCACTGGTTTTCAGAGTTTGAATTTTTTTTGTTTTTTTAGCTTGCACTTTATTTTTGTTTTTTATTTTCTATTTTTATCTCAACTTTTCTTTTATACTTTTATCTTTACTTGTCCATTGCCGGCGTCCTCTAATAATGTTACTTTTAGTCATTTTATAAAATTATTTATTTTTATATTTTTTATAAAATGGTTCATTAAAAGTAATTTAGTCAACTTAGGGTTTAAATTTGTTAGAGTTACCTATTTGCACTAGATTGAAATTTTTGGGGTGTTTTTTTGCACAAGAAAGACATTCTCCAATAATGTCCTTTTCAGCCCGTTTACAAAATTATTTATTTTTATATAGTTTATAAAATAGTTCAGTAAGGGTAATTTAGTCAACTTGAGGTTTAAATTTGTCAGAGAGACCTATGTGCACAAATTAAAACTTTAAGGGTATTTTTTGTATGTGAGTGATGTGATATACACGTAAGCATACTTTAGAGGTGTTTTACGTACTTGACCCACCAATAAAATGTTCACATGCTTTTTGTTTAATAATCGTTTGGTGTTTGATACATATTATAATAAGTCCTTTTATAAGTAAATTATTTTAAAATTTGTTTAGTAATAATATTTTTTAAAAATATTTGTATTGTTAATTTTATAATAACATTCTTTAATATAATGTTGATAATAACAACTTTATAAAAAAAGAAAATGATACTTGTACGGAATACTCAGACCCAAAACTCAAACTGATGGTGATGTGTCACTATAATTGTATTACACTTGGAAAGATAAAAATTTTAAAGACAAAATTATCCTATAATCCAAATTAGCATAGAATCTCAATTAACATTAATGTCTCCCATCATCCATCTCTATACCATAGTCAAACCATTCTTTATTTTCTTCTCTCACCCTTTTCTCCATTGCCATCATTGATTCTCGATTATAACCGGGATACACAAATATTTCACTTTACAGTACTTGGTGACATCACTACCATTGTCGTCGCCATCAAGTCGCCTTGAGAGACCACTTGTTCCTCTTACATGGTGGCATTCTCTTTCTTTCCTTTTCAAGTTGATGAACTTGGTTCTGTAGATCCGTCACTTTATTGACGAGCTCATTTAGTCTGTTGTTGGTTTTGTGCAAAAGAGTGTTAATCATACCCTGCATACAAACACCACCACTTTTTTTTTTTGGAGTTATGATGAAAAATTTAAAACTTGTTATTTATTTATATAAAGGAGAAGGAGAATGTTCTGATAAAATTTATAAAAGAAATTTAAAGAATTTTTAATTATAGTTGTTTTTAAACGATGATCTAGGTTAAATGATCCTAAAAAAGGAAGGATGAATAAAAGAAGACAATATAAGGGTAATTGTCTTTGAAAATTCATGCTGTTTTAATGGACATGCTAGTGGGTCCATTTGATTACCATATTAATTATCTTTTTGTGTTATGTAGATTCTACCTAACAAATCGGTCCAATCTTTCTACCTATGTATCATGACTCTATAAAAAAAAAGTTCAGAATGTCTTTATAAAAAATAAAAAAAGATAAAATTATTTAAAGAAAAATAGATACCTAAAATATACAACCTGATTAAAAAATTTCAAATCCTAGCTTTATTCAAAAGCTTTACTGAGCTAAAATTGTTACCATTAAAAGTGTTTTTAATGATTATCAAATACATTTAAAGCAATTTTTAAAAATAGAAGTGTGTTTACTGTGCTACACTATCTTTCATTATCATAAGCCCTAGAGGCATAGCGGCGTTGACAGGAATTTAGGAGGTAAATCCTTGAAGTTTCGCTTTCGAATCGCACTCCTGACTTGAATGGTGCGTGTTGTGGGGCCGATACATGTACTCTAAAAGGGAAAAAAAAAAAAAAAAACTTTCATTATCACAAGGTTTTAATCCAATTTCTTTGCCCTCATACTTTATTACTTATTCATCTAAACATAAAAGGAAACGAGGAGTAAATAATTCCGGATTATCAAAGACTTAGGCCCACTTGATTCCATACTTCAACGCTGTATGAAGGAGACGGTAAGTGGTTTTTAAAAATAAGTGCGTTTGATAAAATTTTAGAATACCACTAAACATGTAGGTACCACTTAAAATAGACCAAAATTTTAAGCGAGGGGAGGGTTGCCTATCGCGAAAGACAGTAGCTAATTAGGTTTTAAAACTATTTTTTAATAACTATTTTACCCTCAAATAATCACGCTGTCTCTTCTAGGCTTCTCTTTATTATTTCTTTAGAGCATCTCCAATGGAATCTCTAAAATTAGGTTCTCCAAATTTGCCACATCACCATTTTTCAATAGCCACGTCAGCATTTCTCATAGTCACGTCAGCATTTTAGAGTCTCCAAATTTTAGCTATCGCATGTACTCCAATGGTGAATTTTCACTCTCCAAAAATATTAACATTTTAATAATTTTAATAAATTACTTTTTTCTATTTGTTAGGGAAAAAAATTTATTTGGTTAGCCAATATAGCTGTTAAGGCACTGTTTGGGTCAGCCAAACAGTACCTAAAACGGCTATGATGTAATAGGAACATTAAAATTTTATAAAGGGAAAAAAATTCACTTTTTTCTATTTTTTTAAAACTTTTTTTGGCCTAAAAAAACCTTTAAGGCACTGTTTGTGTCAGCTAAATAGTGCCTTAATGGCTAAACAGTGCCTTAATGGCTCTTTAGTTTAATTATGGTAAGGAAAAAAAAAAAAGGCCAAAAATGCAAAAAAAAAACTGATTTTTAGAATTTTTTTTTTTTTTTTTTCTTTACCAAACACGCAGGTAAAAGAGGCCTGCAATCGCTAACTGGGTCGCCCTTTTCCGCAACCCAAAACATGTGGCCCATTTTTTGGAGATTCTATTGGAGCAGTCCAATAGCTAAAAGAGGCCAAGAATCTCTAAATTTTGGGCCGTTGGAGTTGTTCTTAGACTTCTTTTTGTGATTTCTCTATGCATCTGAAAAGTTTTGTCGTTGAAAAACTCTTTTATATATATTTGGTTGGTTGTTATTATTATCTTTTTTCCCTTTATTTTTTTATAAAGGAAAAAAAATTCACTTTTTTCTATTTTTTTAAAACTTTTTTTTGGCCTAAAAAACCTTTAAGGCACTGTTTGTATAAGCTAAATAGTGCCTTAATGGCTCTTTAGTTCAATTATGATGAGATAAAAAAAAAAAGGTAAAAAAAAGGCCAAAAAATGCAAAAAAAAACTGATTTTTAGAATTTTTTTTTTCCACTACCAAACACGCCCTTAAACGTATTCTAGGCTACAGTGTTGCTGGACCGCAAAAGTTAAAAATCCAAAAATTGGTCGGGCCCGCAAGTAAGAAGCCTGCAATCGCTAACTGGGTCGCCCTTTTCTGCAACCCAAAACATGTGGCCCATTTTTTGGAGATTCTATTGGAGCAATCCAATAGCTAAAAGAGGACAAGAATCTCTAAATTTTGGGCCGTTGGAGTTGTTCTTAGACTTCTTTTTGTGATTTCTCTATGCATCTGAAAAGTTTTATCGTTGAAAAACTCTTCTATATATATTTGGTTGGCTGTTATTATTATTATATTTTTAAACCCCCGCCCCCCCCCCCCCTCCTAAAATAATAATAATAATAATAATAATAAAATAATAGTTCTATTTAGTATCTTATAAACATGTCTCTTTTAGTTACCTATTTAAATTGATTCATTATAGAACACAATGTATTTATATAATCGAATTCTATTTGTAAATAAGAATTCTTTTTCACCTTTTTTTTTAAAAAATATTTTTAATATTCTTTTTGATACCGTACATAAGTATCATATAATCCAATGCCCATATATTTTAAATTTTTATCACTTATTTATATAATAGAATTCTATTCCTAGATAAGAATTATTTTTCACGTACTTTCGTTATAACAACCCTTTTCAATATCCTACACAAATATTATGTAATCCAAAGCCAATATGCTTTAAATTTTACTTTCTTTAATGTTTGTAACATTTTTTTTGATATCCTACATAATAAATAATCCAAAACCCATATATTTTAAATTTTAATTTTAATTTTTTTTAATTATTATTATTTTTTTTTAGCACTCTTTTAGATATCCTATATAAATGTTATGTAATCCAAAATTCATATAATTTAAATTTTCATTAGTTATTTATATAATAGAGTTCTATTTATAGATAAGAATTCTATTTTTTTTTTAAATAATTATTTGACATTAATATTCATTTTTAAATTGATATATTTCATTGAGTGAATTAATGTGATTATTTTATTAATATTTTTATATTATAAATATAAAATTGTTATGAGTACCAGATATTGAGGGTAAAAATTTAATATGTACAACTTTTAGACTTCAATTTTTGTATATAATAAATAATCTTATTAAATTCAGTGCTTAAAATCAAAATATTATCAAACATGTTTTCAAATTAATACATTTAACACTTAAAATTTTAATGCTTAAAATTTAGTACTTAAAAATTTAACCGATTAATTTTCAGTTTTATCAAACAGCACTTTAGTGCCCCAAATGTATTATCTCCTCATCTTCAATGAGGAATGGAGGGGTCTGAGTTCCTACGTGAATAAATGTACATGGTTTCGTCCGATTATGTAATTTCAGACCATATAATAATTTGTATATATTTGGTTCAAGTCCCACATTTAAAAAAAAAAAAAAGTGAAAAAATCACAATATCCTTTCAGAAAATAAAAATAAAAAAGAAAGAAAGAAGAGGTTGTTTTAATTATATAAAATGGCGTAATGGTCAAATTCGGCATTACCCGGTTTCGTAATCACTTTGTATCCATGTTATACAACACTAGTAAGTCATTGCTTTCCCTTCTTTATGTCCCTTTCCTGTGCCTTTCTTGAATGAAACGAAACATTTTTTTCTTTTACAACAACTCATTAGTCAATTTTTCCAATTAGATATATATATATGTGTGTGTATATATATATATATTGTATATACTCGATCGTACCCATATAGACGAAATACTACTCAATTCTCTCTCTCTCCAAAGCCTTTTAAAAAGGCCTTTCTGCCTTATCGTTCAAATCTACCATAAACCAACAGACCTTAATCCTCTCTCTCTCTGCATCGAGTCGTAAGCAAGCTCCTCCATGCCGACAGACCCGTCACTCCAATTAATGGTACTTAATTCTCTCTCTCTCTCTATATACATATCTCTACATATTCTGTGAACATGTATATTTTGATTGGCTGTTTGATTGGTATGGTCGGAAAAGTGGGGCTTTTCCGGCGTGTAAAAATCAGTTACCGATTAATATGTGTAGTGGGTGTTAATATATTATACATATGAATTGATATATCTTAGGTATAATTAATATATTGATATAATGCTTTGTTGTCATGTGGAAAGCAAAAATGGGATAGTGGGTAGGGTTGGACCTTGGCAGGCCGGGTTTGGAGTCTTGTGTTCTCTTTATGTTTGTTGAACGGTAAGATTTGATCACATGCGAATGCGTATATTATTATATTATATAATATAAATATATGTTATATATAATTTCATTATACAATAATTACAAAGTACTGAAACCAAAACTTGTGCCATCAACAACTGGATTTTCTTGATAAATGGTAAAAATATATAATAAAAAAAAGTTTTTTTTTTTTTTTTGGTTTGCTTGCTAGGGAAGATATATATACTCTTTTAACAATTTCATAATCACAAGGCCCATATGACTGCTGGGCCTCACGAAAATGACGAGACTATTGTAAGAACAGGAGAACGAGAATTAATCACAAACTATTAAAAAAAAAATCTTTTCTTAATAGGACAATCAAATTTATTAATGGATAAAATATAGAATTATTAATAGTAACACTATATAAAATGAAAAATTTGACTTTCCTTGGGCTTCGAAAATATTTAAGAATTAGTGTTTGATATATTTAAAGCTTGTTCTTTGGTCAACTTAAATGGACAGCTCATAATCCTTTTCTTGCGTATCTCTTTTTTGTTTTTTTTTTTTTCCTTTTCAAAACAGTTCATCTCAAACATGCTAAACCTTCTTTAATTGTAAATTCAAAGTATTAATTTATTATTTTTTCAATAAAATTATTAATAGCATAATTTTTCAATCGTAAGGCACACGGAATAATATTTATTCGGTGCTCTTTTTTAGAATTGGATGTTTAATTTTAATTTTTGTTTTTTAAAATCAATTTCTTATACCTAATCATTGGATTATAAACAAACCATTAAAAAATTGTGCGTTCTCCTTGGCTTTTTTCACTTTTTTCTTGGATTCTTTACTTCAATTTCCTCCAAACGGCTGATTGAACTTTTGGCTGAGAATCATCCGTCGGCAGCGTAAATGGTGGATCGAACTGATCAAAAAAAAAAATTAATTAAGAAATTATTATTATTTTTACTACTTCGCACATAATTCATCGAAAAAGAGAGAAAAAAATCCGTCGCCAGCGTAATTATATATATTATTTTACCAAAAAAAAACTATTGATATTATTATTTTTGGGGAAAACTAATACTGTTGGTGGAATGATAATTATAATTACAATGATAATGATAATTATATGGTGTGGTGCAGGTGAAGGAAGGAGATGTTGGAGGTGTAAAGGTTGCTGTTCTTACATCACCAATTTCGTTAGAGGGGGAATCAGATGTTAATTACAGAGCTCCTAATCTTATACAACGTATCTTGAGTCTCTTGAAGAGTGTACGCCCCGGCACAGATCTCACCCGCTTCCAGGCATGTATACCAATATATATATATATATATATATATATATATATATGTATGTGTTATATAGTCAACTTTCATTGCACATGTCTTTAATTAAACCCTAGCCTTGAATTGTAAAACCCACAATTTAGGCTGACTTTTAGATTATTTATAAGTCATAAAAAATGTTGAACTGATTGTTCTCCTTAAAGATCTTGATTTGGTGTTACTTGTGAAAGGAAAAAATATGGAGGAATATATATATATATATATATATATATATATATAATTTTTGTAATTGTAAATTGTCGGAACAATAGTTTGAGAGTTTGAGAGATGCCAAGCACAATAGTTTGAGAGATGCTATGCACAATAGTTTGAGAGGTCTGTGGAGTGAAATAAAAAGTACAAAATTTGAGAGATGCTCAGGACAATAGTTTTTACACCCTCTTCTAGGATTACACATATCATATGGTGCCATGGTGGGACATTTAAATTCAATGTTTGTTAAAGAGTTTGGAGTTTCTATTGTATCCCAAAATGCAAGGAAGAATACATGACACATTTGTATAAATAGTTAGTTGCTTAGTTTTAAAGATGTTATGACAAATTAAAGAAAGGAATCTCCAAGTGGAAACCTCTAAACAATTAGACCCCTAAGTTTCATGGATTTTTCTTAATACAGAGAAAAGCAGTCAAATATTTCATATCTAAATTTTGTTTGCATTTGTTTAGTTACACACCTTATGGTTTCAATGTCAGAAAAAATGAATGTAATTGTAGCCAGAACCGAGTATATGAAGAGCTAATTATAATTGTTCAAACTAATTTTTTCCTTCGATGCTTAGTTTTATGGTTCGTGTATCTAGTAACAATTTATTTAGTAGGTGTGCAAATGGGTAAAGCCAATACTCTGTTTTGGTAATAGGGACAACATTGTTGTTTTCTCACTTTTCAGCTTATGTATGATTGTGGGTGTCTGGTTGTTGATGTGTTGATGTCAACAATGCTCTGATCATATGATGATTTTGTTAATATGTTCCATCTACAATTTCAGCTGCCACCGCTCTTCAACATTCCAAAGTCACAACTTCAGTGTTATGGGGAATCAGTGTATTGCGTTGGTGACAATTTGTTGACCAAGATTGCCAATGGCGAGAGCTCAATTGAAAGATTTACATCTGTCGTTGCATGGAGCATATCTACCATGCGCCCTCTGGCATTTGGCGTTGCTCCTTACAATCCCATTCTTGGAGAGACTCACCATGTGTCAAGGGGCAACCTCAATGTGCTGCTTGAACAGGTACTAGAGCATATTTCTATTTCTATTCTTTACCTAGAGAGCTTTATTGCCAAATTTAACTTCTTTGCAAGCTAGGTGAACCAAGATCAAACTGTTTTTAACTTTCATTGCTAAGCAAGCTCAATTTAGTACTATGGTAGTAATATGATTGAATCAATTGATTTTCTCAAGTAACAGCACTTGGTCTGGTTTACCTTGGGGAATCCAAGATCATCAGTCCATGCTGAGCTTGGAAGCTCGACTGGCTTCACTCTGCATGACGTGTTTTCGCTCCTCTAATGTGTATACCCCTGCTTTTGGCTTATGTCTGAACCCTAGTGTTCCATGCTTGCAGGTTTCTCATCACCCACCGGTGTCTGCCCTTCATGCAACTGATGAGAAAGATAATGTTGAATTGTTATGGTGTCAATATCCTACTCCAAAATTTCATGGTATAAATCTTATCCTCTGAATATTGGTAGTGTAAAGTTTGGAATCATTGATGTTATAAATATTTATAACAATGCATCAAAAATTGTTCAACTGTAGACATGCATCAACTATAGACATGGTGTTAAATTACATCATTGAACATCCTTATGCTTCTAATTCAACTGTAATTATTATCATCCTTATGGTGTTTAATTACATCATTTAAAAATTGTTTTTCCTTTAATATTAGTTTGTTTATTTATATTCCTAAATACATGTTGTAGGTACCTCTGTAGAAACCGAGGTGTGTGGGAAAAGACTGCTGAAGCTCCTGAGTAAGGGTGAAAGTTATGTAATGAACTCTCCAAAGCTTGTGATAAGATTCTTGCCGTTTCCCCGTGTTGATTGGGTGGGCAGCGTCACAATCCGATGTCCAGAAACTGATCTAGAAGCTGAGTTTTGTTATCGAACCAACTCTTTTTTAGGCCGCCGAACAAATCACCGGGCAATTAATGGAAAGATTTTTATGTCATCATCATTGAAGACTATATACGAGATTAATGGCCACTGGGATAGGTACTTTTTTCCCTATTGAATATTCATTTAGTACATGGGCTTTCCTTCTGTTGTGCTTGTAATTCATGGGGTATTTGAAGATAATACTTCCTTATTAAATGTTGTTTGTTGCAAAGAAGGAATTTGAGATGTTGGTTACTTTTTGTGGAAGTTTTATTGCAAGGACTCTATGCCAAACACATTTGTTGTATCCCAATGAGTTTAACATAAACATTGCATTTTATTTTTGTTGACACTTTTTTTTATTTGTTTTGCTTGATCTAAATATGCAGAACGATTACAATTAAGGATGCTAGTAACGGAAAAGTGACGGTGATATACAATGCGAAGGACATGATTTCAGGACTGAAGACACCCATTGCCAACAATCCAGAGGTAACCAACCCCTTCCAATTGTTGTATCCATCGTTGAATTCTATTACATATATGAGAGGTCATTTATGAAGAACGATCATACCATAAGATGCACACAGACAAATTCAATCAAATAGTCTGATATACAACAAATCATCTCAGTTATAGATGATTATGCAAGTTCAATTAATCATCTGTTTTAACAAGCTACTAACAACATTGACATATGAACTACATGTATGATCTATGAATGGATTATGCTTTTTTGTGTGTGTGTGTGTGTGTGTGTGTAAATGTATGTGTATATATGCTTATGATTGTAACTTTGTATCTGATTGTGTTATTCACTGTCCTAGGGTGTTTGGGCAAGTGAATCAGCTGTGGTGTGGGGTCAAGTGAGTGAAAGCATTTTGAAGAAAAATTGGGAGAAAGCAAAGGAAGCTAAGACAGCTCTGGAGGAAATTGAAAGAGAGCTTCTTAGAGGAAGGAATGCCAGAGGAGAAACTTGGGTACCTAAGCATTTCACTGTATCATATAGCAAGGAAAGTGGGTGGGACTGCTCACCAAATATGAGGTGGGTCCCACCAGCTCCAATTGTTGTACCGCTTTGAACCACTTGGACCACACAAGCGGACTAGTGTTCTCTAATCTTATTAATCCATGGAATTTGACACTTTCCAAATTCTTTGTAGCTGAACAAACTTGTAAAGAATTAAATTAATGTACTAAGTTTTGGGTTATTGACAAATTTGCAAGTAGAAGTTGCTGAACAAAATGATTCATAACATTTGGCTGCAGTTTTCATGAGGAGGGTTTGCTTGTAGAAATTGATAAATAGAGTTGAAAAATAGGTACACTCGAGATAAATTGGAGAAACTTCCATATTTTGTACACACTTAAATTCCAACTTTCAAGTGGATGGAAATTCAAATGATCAGATACACTGCACCTCAAAAACATCAAGAATTGGAATGCTCAAATGCAAGTCTGAATTTTTAGTTAACAAATTTATTTTATATTAGATAAGTCTTTACACAAGCATATTATCCACACCGGGAGGCAAACCCTCCCAGGAGGTTATTATTATTATATATATATTTTTATCTTGGCAACGTTAGTGTGTTAGTAATATGCGAAGGGAAAAGATGGGGTGGGATTCAAACCTAAGTCAAAGGTTCCAAACTACAGCTATCCTATCACTGGGCTATCACTGCACTCGGGAGATTATTATTGGGTTATATATCATTGGATTATTGGGGGTTATATATCATTGATTAATGGTCCATTGGTACAATTTCATCGATTTGATTAATTGTGCTCGTATAAGCATCGTGATGCTAAACATTGGATTAGAAAATTCATTGAATTTTTAACTCATGACTCTTACCAAAAACATGATTTCAGATTGATTTTAAGAAGTCAAGAGAATTGGACTGAAAGCCTCATAATTTGGGCATCCTCAAATTTCCCATGAAAGATTTTCATTACATAACTTTATAAACATGCCTTTTGGATATAGCCATTTATAGGAAGTTGAAATAGCAACAAAGAAGAAAAATTCATTACCCAATTTCCCATCAGCACATTACATAAAACTCCATCACACACACACACACACAAAAAAAAAAATTCCATAGCACTTTTATTTACAACAATATAACCTACCTCACATTCATGCAACTTTTGATGCCTCTATATGATTTTCTTGTAAGTCCGATTCACTTCTCCTATTGAACGATTTTTCTCTAATGGTGTCCAAAATTGGCTTCCATGACCTTGCTTTTGATGACTTGGATAAACCATAAGCCACCACACCACTTTCTGGCTCCACCCTTGTGCACTGTTCCGAGAACCGGTTAGGACTCCGACCCGGTGAGCTCCATATTGGGCTCGAGCAATGTGGGCTGGACCCGAAACTTGTCCGGCCAGACAGGGATTCCGACCGGCTAGTCTTTGCAACTTTGGTGAGCTTCCTGGCCATAGAGGCCAAGTCCATGGGAGAGACCTCGGCCTGGAATGTTGCGTATGATAGCAAGAAGTAAACGTGGCCCGGCTCGAGTTGAGTGTTGGGCTTGAGGGCCTTCAAGTCACCGGACAGAAGTTGGACCTGAGTGCACAGAAAATGCTTCGGTGGCTTGCCGGTGACTTGGACCACCGTGACTGGTGGTTCAAAGTCCTCAACATAGCCATTGAGGTGCACAATACGAATGTTGTTGAAAGTAGATGATGAACTGCAAGAGAAAGAACAACCCATCTCTCTATATCTCTATCTCTCTCTCTCTATTTGTCTCACGAATATAAATGTCTATAGAAAGTAGATGAGACTTCACTTGTATGTTTTCATGCATAGAAAAATTAAATAGGGATGTGTATATAAATAAATAGATGAGACCCACAAGAAGACTTTATTCCATGGGCTTAATAGTGGAAAATAGTAGGCAATTTGGACATTTGGCCAACCACTTTTGGAAATTACTAAAAAGTCAAGTAAGAATTTGATAGGAAGAAAACGTGTCTTTCTACTTGACAGAGCCTTTTTTTTTGTGCGGACCACTCACTACAAATCACTCCCCATGGACTCTGACCTATTTTGAATTCGTCCCTGCCGTGGGGTTTGGGGGTGGAGATGGGGACTAGGGTTCTAACTTCTAAGCACCGTCATCAAATTCAATTTTACTATATATATATCTATATATATATGAGATTTTTTAGATATTAATGTAATTTGTCCAATATATTTTGGTGTGGATAAAGATACTAAAAAATTTGATCGAAAAAAGTGAACATGAGTGAAAGAAAGGAAAAAACGTTATTTTAAATACATGATGCGTGAATGAATTTTATTCACTTTTGTTCTTTTGATTTGTTTATCACTATACATGGGTTGGCAAACAAATTTTCACAATATCATTAAAAAATTTAAATCTTTCATTTTTGACTTTGAAAGAAGAAGAGATAATCACTTAACCGCATGTTTTAGTTATAATCTAATTTTTAACTTTGAATTTGAAATATTTTCTTCTTCTTCTTCTTCTCAAGTCTTATACTGCTTATTAGTTCATCAGGGTAGGTTATGGTAAAATTCAACAATTTGACAAGCTCCACAAATGTAATCAAATCTAAACTATTTCAACGGTCAATTTCAAAAGTTCTTCTTATTCTCAACAAGAGTCAGTTAAAAACAGTTGAGTAGTCTAATTGGAGTTCAAAATACAGTAATAAGGGAGTAAGCAGTCTAAACCTTGAATTACGACCAAGTCAGAAGGACACCATGGAAGTCATCATACGCAGAGTGTGATGACAATTTTGACTGTCTAAAACAGGACTCCACAGAGTGGCCAAAACAAACAAAACGAAGACCAATTTATCAGAAAGAAAGACTTGCTTTCTAGGTGGTGTGGTGTTACATAAAAACACTTGTGAGTTGTGGCCCACCACGCAAATGGGTTTTTGTTTTCATGTTAGCTAACAACAACAACAACAACAACAAAATGTCACACTTTCATGTCGAAACAAAAACCAAGAACAAGTAAAACAAGAGACGTAGGGTCTTTTGCGTGTTAAAAGGGGCACTTACAACAAATTTAATTGGAGTAAATATTGTATTAACTTAATTAGCAAAAATGAGTAAATTTTGATTAAGGGTGAGTTGGGATTTGATTGTGATGTATTTAGAAATGGACCTAATAAATTATTTCATGTGAATAGATTTGGATCAAACATATAATAATCTCAACTTCTGACTTCAATACCATAAACAGGGCATTTAAGAAAATGATGACCATCTAACATATAATTCTGATTATTTCACCAAATTTAAGTAGCTTTGTTTATATATATATACACACACACTTATAAGTTAAAACACTAAAGAATGAGAGGGTCAATAATCAATAAAATATGTCTATATTATATTTGAGAGTATGTGGCGGCCTTGTCCGCGGGTGTGTGTGTGAGCGTGTGTAGGTGGTACCAGTAAGCTATTATATTGGGTGAGGTACACAATCTAAGTGTGACAAAGTTTGACATGACTCACCAACACGACTCGAATACAACACGAGTTAAATGGGCTTAAGTTGACCTTAAACAGATTCAGATCATAAACGAGTCGACACGATTAACCTGTTTAGTTAATCGTGTCATGTTTGGATTGAGGGGTTCGTTTATATCCGTTTAACTATACGTGTCATAAACAAATTTCTATTTAAGTTCTAAAATAACTATTAAAACTTATATCTTATATATATATATATTTTTTTTTTTTGTAGACTAAAGATTATTTAGTAATTTGGTTGGATTGAAATTTATATTTTTCAAGTATTTAATGTTTGATCAAGTATTATTAATAATTTAAATAATAAAATATTTGATTTTATTAAACAGGTCATTAAATGTAACCCGTTTAATAAACAGGTAAGGTTAGTGTTGAAGGTTCCTAACACGATTATAAAACAGGTCGTATTCGAGTTGAGCTGTTTAGTAGAATACTCTTAAGTCGACACAATACGATTACGACCCGCGAACACAAATTGTTATTCTTAACTTGTTTCAATTTAAATTTTTTTTGTTGTAAAATATTTTCTATGTAAAAAAAATAATTAGACTAAGATTTGTTTGTGAGCATTCTATCAAACAGTTTGTAGACAAGAAAAAGTGAGTTGTTTTTTTAAGATATGATTGAAACGAATAGAAGACCGTGACAGTATCGAAGTTCATACGCCAACAGTTTGGGACAGTATCGAAGTTCATATGTCAACCTAAAATTTTGGATTTCCTTTAATAGAGAGAACATAGAGAATCTTAACTCATTGGCATCCCGATCATGTCAAAAAAGTTCATCAGCGACATAACAATTGTCGGCAAATACATCTATTTCCTTGATAAGTTATTTCATCTATTTCAACGTCAAATATTTTACAACAGCCAAATACTAAAAAAATTACAAATATTTTCAATTTTTAAAAAATGAGAAAAAAAACCACCAAAAAATATCACAAATATTTTCCAAAAAAAAGTTTTACTTGTAAAATGTTTGTTTTTTGGTAATTTTTTTTTTTCACATAAATTATTTTCTTTGTAAAATGTATATTTTTTTTTGGGTTCCAATTTTCAGTGTTTGTTCGCTGAAAAAAAAAAATTAAGAAATAGTTTTCATGTGTTTGATATTTGAAAATTTTTTCATTTAAAAATTTAAGCTCTTGTCTTTATCATTAAAACTTAGATGATCATAAAAATCTACAAAGTAGACTGAGGTTTGTCAAAATATAAAAATGAAATAAAATTAGACTAACAAAATAGAAAATAAATTTAAAGAAATAGTTTTCATATGCGTGGTTTTTGAGAATGTTTTTGTATATAAAGTCAATCTCTCATCACTATCGTTAAAACTTTGGTGGTCATAAAATTTTACAAAGTAGATTGAGGTGTCAAAAAATAATATAAAAAATAAAATTAGACAAAGGTTTGTTTTTGAAACATTCTATCAAACAGTATGTACACAAGAAGAAGTTGAGTTATAATTGCAACAATCGATGTAAAATGATGTTTATAAATAAATAAGTAAATTAGACTAACGTTTGTTTGTCAACAGTGTGTGAATAAGAAAAGACGAGCTATAATATAATTGCAACATAATATTGAGAGGATATGAATCAACTTAGAATTGACATGATTTTGCCAGACTCGATGAAGTTCAAACATGAAGAAGAAATTTTGAATTTACTTTGACAGATAGAATATCAGAAACTTATGTACACAGTCTAAACACAACCGTCAATTTGATGATCGGCATAAAAAAAATAGTTCACCAGCGACCCAATATGACCCAAACTTCCTTTGAAGTTCAAACGTCGACAAGAAATTTTGGATTTACTTTGATAGAGAGAACATCAATAACTTATGTTTCACAACCTATACACACCGTCAATTAGATATATAATCGGCATCAAAAAGGTTTATCAACGACCAAATTGCTGTTGGCGCGCGTAGATATAAAATACCGGATTTGATAAACTGAATTAGAATTATCGCCGGCGATGAGTGACAATCGTCAAAAAGTCTACTAAAAAAATGTAAAACAACTTACGGCTATTTACTTGGCAAGTCATTTTCACCTATTTTATGATAACATATTTTACATGGAAAACATTTTTCAATTTTTAAAAGGGAGCCAAACACCAAAAAATAATGAAAAATATTTTCGTAAAATGTTTTTTTTGCAAAATATTTTTCCCTCGGGCCCATTTGTTTTAACGTAAAATATTTTCCTTTTTCAAGTTAAATATATGTTTTTTAATTTTTAATTTTTCAGTATTTGACAAATATCTAGGTCGAGGTTGAGGGCGAGTCCATCTCGGGAGGGAGCTGTAAAATAACTTGTCGAAAATTGATGAGTAAATTATTTTTGTTAGATTTTAAATACTTTTTTGATTCGAAAATATTTTACGATAAACAAACACTAGAAAATAAAAAACCAGAAAATACTTTACATCCAAACAAACGGAGCAGAGCATAAAATATTTTTCATATATTGTTTGTAAAATTCTTTTTTCATTTTCATTTTTAAGTGCTTCGTTAGGTGAAAATAATTTTTAAGAAATAGTTTTAATTTGTTTGATTTTTGAAAATATTTTTATATAAAAATTCACGCTCTAATAGTCTAATCTCTATCATTAAAACTTTAATGATCATAATATTATAAAAAGTAGACCGTGGTTTGTAAAATAATAATAATAATAATAATTAGACTAAGATTGTATGAGAGACCTTCTATGAAATAGTTTGTAGACAAGAAAAAGATGATCTATAATTGCAATATCAGATCCGGAGGATATGAATCAAGTTAGACCTAAAACGACTAGACATAGATTACATCAACAACCATATGTTTCGTGTGTTTGTATAAAATTTTTTTTTTTAAAAAATAAAAATTTAAAGTTATTTTTATATAAAAATATTGATCTTGGGTTTCTACCTTAACCATTGAGGAACAGTTTTAATTTTTGAAGCCATTATTAGCAACGCAGGGTCTGGCTTCATATGGTCAGAAAGTGGGATCCGTGAAAAAAGAAATTTTAATTTTTATATTTGTTTGTTTCAACGTAAAATATTTTTTTTGAAAAATATATATATTTTTTAAATAAAATATTCTTTTATTTTTATTTTGTTTGTGTTTGGCAAAAGTTTACGTTGAGTTCATCAGGCAGGGCATGTAAAATAAATTGCCAAAAATTAATGGATAAGTTATTTTTGTTAAATTTTAATATTTTTTTCTTCGTAAATATTTTATGACAACCAAACACCAAAATATAAGATAATATTTTCTGAAAAATATTTTACGCCCAAACAAACGGAGCCTTAGCATAAAATATTTTACTAGAAAAACACTTTCAATTTTTAAAAGGGAGCCAAACTCCAAAAAATGACAAAAATATTTTTCAAAAAACATTTTACGTAAAATTTTTTGTTGTAAAAAAAATTCCATTTAAAATTTGTTATTTGTATATATATATATATATATATATTTGTTGTTGGTTCACTGTGTGGTCGGAAATATTTGCATATAAAATTCAAGCTCTTATCTCTACCATTAAAAACAGTCATGATCATTAAAATCTAAAGTAGACTACGGTTTGTAAAAAATAATAATAATTAGACTAAGGTTTGTTTATGAGACATTCTATCAAACAGTTTGTACTCATAAAAAAGATGAGTTATAATTGCAACATCAGATTGGGACGATATACACTGAGGTTTGTAAATAAAATAATTTTGTGAGACATTCTATCAAACAGCTCAAAGGTCAACAACAATTCTTGAATTTCTTTTGACAACGTGTATCAAATACCTTATGTTTTACAATTTATAAGGACCTCATACTATCACATAATATGATATTATCATTTTTTTATGTCTAAGTATACACAATTTTATTATTAAATTTTATCCTCAAAAGACCACCTACCATTTAGAATTTACTATTACATATATAATACTTTTCTTTTTCCTTAGCTTGGCATCATGTGCCATAACCTAGCACCATAATAGCCTGCCAGATGCACAATTGACAACATTAACCAAGATAACTATTATTGCCTGTTAGCAAGGATCACCATCGTCAAATGGTGTATTGATTTGAAACATTTGACTTTTTTTTATCTCTTTGTTGCTCATGTATTTCGAGGAGACTTGTGACTTGTGGACTTAAAATTACAAAACGACTTACGGCTATTTATTTACTTGGTAAATCATTTTCAACCATTTTAGCGTAAAATATTTTATTTTTAAAGGGGAGCCAAACAATGAAAAATAACAAAAAATATTTTCCATAATTATTTGACATTGGATTTTGGCGTAAAATGTTTTTGATGTAAAATATTTTTGATGTAATTTTTTTTTTTTTTTTTTTTTTTTTTTTCATTGTTCAGTTTTTGGTTCACTGAAAATAATTTCTAAGAATAAGTTTTCATATGTTTGATTTTTGAAAGTATTTTCATATAAAAATTTAAGCTCTTATCTGTATCACTAAAAATATTTACAATCATAAAAATCTACAAAGTAGACTGCGGTTTCTACAAAATAATAATTGTTAGACGAAGGTTTGTTTGTGAGATATTCAATCAAATTATTTGTAGGGAAGAAAAAGATGAGCTACAAGTGCAAGATATTTTCCGAAAAATGTTTTAAAATGGAACCTTAATTTTTTTTATTTCTATGAGTCGCGTGCAACACACAGCCTATTAAATTACCCACAAAAAAATTTAAAAACAAAAAACAAAAAACAAAAAATTGCTACCTATTGACTTATGCATGTGCTATCCTAGTAAACATGAAATTAAGAGACTAAATAATATCAGAGGTACCCAAGTCCTTGTTATAACTTAAATCATACGCCTTCTCTTTTGGGATGGCAAAAGTTACCAAGTTCAATACTCAAATAGAAATTGAGCAAAGTGATAGAAAAAAGAAAAAGAAAAAGAAAATTATAGTTAATGAATCAGAAACGGCCTTATTTCAAATGAAAATTTGTAATACCTGGGGCCATGATTCCAATTCTTGTAATTAGTCCTCAAGAAGTTCACAATCAATTCTTTGGAAATAGAGTTTCATGTAATTCAAGTCATATGCAATGTTGTAATATTGCTGAGCCCTAATCCCAATTACACTCGTCCCACGATCCTCATCATCAGACCCAAGCACTGCCATGCAAAATACATCAGGGCCATCTTGTTGAAACAAGCTGGTTATGTCTAACCCTAAGTCAGCTCCTCCAGCAAAGTGAAATGTCACCACCGGGAACCCTTTTAGGTCTCGACTCAAAATCCCCTTGTAGCACAGGTGACCTCTACCATCTTGATCAGTAGGTGCCACTGGCTCCAACACTCCACCTATCAACTCCTGCACCTCTCTGCTCAATGGTTCGAACCCATCTTTCGCTAGGAAAGTCCACGTCGAGCCTGAGTCTATGATCACACCACCTTTGCCTAACGAATCTCGTTTGAACGTTGTTGGATCGATGTTAACTCGTTTCTCTCCCAGACTTATGCCTTCTAGGGTTACATAGTAAAAGCCTCTATACGTTGTCACTGGCGTTGAATAGCCTTCGATTTTCGCCCCCTCCCCAATAATTAACTGGTGATAGTTATAGTGAGGATCATCTATATTACCAATGCAATACGAAAATAGCCTAGAACCAAACTGATAAGGCAAAGAAACATAATAAGGTCCGAGTCCTAGAACTCCACTCATTTTGCCTATGCCACTGTTCTTATTCTCGTGTCCACAACCAAAAACCACATTAGGCACACTAATTATGCCTTCATCAGACGTCACAAACGTGAGCTTTTCAGTACCAAGTTGTCCTTCTGTCGTGGTTCCATCACCATATACTTTTCCATAAACGCAATCGTCTCCAAGACCGCAATATCCGACATTTGGATCATCACAATAAGAAGATTCACACGGTAGGTAAGCGTATGTGGATGACTTAGAAGGACGGAATATGGGACTATACTGGTTGAAGCAACTTCTGCAAGGTTGGCACTGAACCCATAATAGGGTGCTGCCGGTGTCCATCGCCACGAGTTGTGGAACCGGTGGCTCGCCGATCGAGAGATTCACGAGTAATGCGGAGGCATGATCTTCGGGAAGAAGATCACCTCGGACATCATCTGTGGTGAAAGAATAGCTTTCTTTCCTTGCCTTTAAGTAACCATAACGTGCCATCGAGCTCTCTATAGCTCCCCTTGCATGGTCAGAGGTGGTGGCATTAGGGTTGTAATATGGAGAGCGAACGGAGTCACGGTGAATGAGTTTAGTGACCAACCTATGAGGCGGCGTTGCCATGGCAATGGCTGCAGGATTATAGCTTGAGGAGACGACAATGATGAAGGAACAAAGAATCATGAGCTTGAAACTAACAAATGCAGAAGCAACTTTCATGGATAAGAAAATGGGAACAAAATTATTCATAGCACTGATGATACAATTTGATTTTTCTAGTAAATTTTAACTTTTCTGTTGTTTTCTTTTTCCTTTATTGTTTGAATACCAACCTTGGATTTATAGAAACTAACTTCAGTACTAATCTATTGGTTTAAAAATTTGAACAACGTATTGCTAGTTGCAATACACGTAGTATAAAAGAGCTTATAAAAAGCATGATCTTTTATTTTAATTTGTTAAATAATTACTAACAAGATTGTTGGTTGACCGCATGTGTGCTATAAAGATTGTTGCATAAAGGTTAATCTTTTGTTGGAGACCATATCATCTTTATAGTATGCATAATGCATGACCTGTTGTATTTAAAGGATTATTAAAAATGCATGGGCACATTAAAGATATATACAGTGGATATGTATATCAAATATAATAAAATATCAAAATATTCATTCTAGTGTTGACAGAATTTCTATTACAAAGCTCAGCATATATATAAATTCTTGCTTTTGATCTTTGAAGACCATCTTGCCTTTAAAAAATGAGATTAAAAAAAAAAAAAAAAAAAGGAGCTTGTTGAAGGTCCATAAACATGGGGTTTTAAAGAGGAATTATATATTTCTTGTAACACTACAGAAAGCAAAGTTTGCATGAAAATTAATTATGTTACCATATATGAACAATTAATTCACAGAACATGTGGCCAAAAAATAAAATAACAATCAAGTTTGGAATAGTCTATGAAATCTAGCTTCTTCCATGGCAAGCCAAAATAAATAAAAAATAAAAGTATTCTAAAAAATAATAATTCTACAACTAATGCATTAACACATGGAAAAATGGCAAGCAGAAATTCCTTGTAAGAATTGTTTGTATCCTTGTGCCAAATACATCAACATCACAGTAGAAGAAGTATATAAATGACCTATATAGGGAACTTTACTAGAATTATATATATAGATATATTAGATATCTATAAGGAGTTTATTTGTTTTAAAATAAATAAAAGAGAAAAGAAGAACAACTCATTTTTAGGTGAGTTAATTTGATGCCAAATCTAATAATATGCTCACTCTAATCTTTTTTCTTTTTATTTATTTATATATTTGTTCATTTTTGTCGGAAATTCAAAGAAGTATAGATGATTAGGTCAATTTAGGTGAGGGTTGCAGATTCCAACGGCTTTCAGATGGAGGTGGTTAAGGACTACCAAACAGACTTGGGCAGACCCATTCAAAAGGCCCAAAATCCCATATACAAAAAGAAAATAGGCCAAAGGCCCGAAACACATATCCGAAAGAATGAAAATAGCCAAGCTGCCTAAGGCATAACTTGAATTCTGTAGCTGAATCTGTAACATTCCGCTACAAGTACTTTAGTCAAATATTTTTTTTGTTATATTAATATATACATGATACGAGGATAATAAAGTAATCAAAGATTACTAATAAATTTATGAATCTTAAAAGTGCTTAACAAGGAGTACAGGAGGCAAAAAAAAAAAAAAACAGGAAAGCAAAAATAGCATTAATCGCACTAAAGTCCTCACTACAAATCATAGGAGTTGATCAGTCCTCAAGTAGTTCACAATCAATTCTCTGGAAATAAAGTTTCTTGCCGGATAGGTCATAGCCAATGTTGTAATATTGTTGAGCCATAATCCCAATTGCACTAGGCCGATCCTCATCATCAGACACAAACACAGCCATGCAAAATGCATTAGGGCCGTGCTGTTGAAACATGTTGTCTATGTCTAACACTAAGTCAGCCCCTCCAGCAAAGTGAAATGTCACTACTGGGAACCCTTTAAGGTCTTCGCTCACGACCCCCCTGTAGCATAGGAGATTAGGTTTCATAGTAATCACCACCCGTCTCAACAATCCACCTATCACTGCTTGCACCTCGGCTTTAAGCGGTTCGAACCCAGGTCTTACTAGAAGAGTATCTGTCATGCCTGAGTCAATGATCACACCACCTCTGCCCAATGGATTTCGTTTGAAAGTTTCTGGGTCAATGTCAAGCCGTTTCTGTCCCACACTTATGCCTTCTAAGGTTAGATAGTACAATCCTCTATAGATTGTCATTGGAGTTGAATAGCCTTCAATCCTAGCCCCGTTTCCTATAATTAGCTGGTTATGAGTATAGTAAGGATCGTTTATATTGCCAATGCAATAAGAAAATACAGAACCTAATTGTGAAGGCAAAGATACAACGTGATTGCCGAGTCCCAAAACCCCACTAAATTTGCCTATTTTGTTCTCATTAATGTGTCCACAACCAAACACTATGCTCTGGACACTAGTTGTGGATTCATCAGATGTCAAGAATGTGAGCTTTTCAAGGGCAAGGCCTCCATTTGTGGAAGTATTGTCATAGTAGTTCTCACCATACCTGCAACTTCGAGATTTATCACATCTAAATGGAAAATCACAATAAGGAGAAGCACAAGATAACTCGTCATACGTGGATGACTTGGAGGGATCAAATATGGGGCCTAATTGGTCAAAACATTTTGTGCAAGGGAGGCATTGAATCCATAATAGGATGCTTCCGGTGTCCATTGCCGCGAGTTGTGAAACTGGCGGCTCTCCAATAGAGAAATTCACAAGAAATATAATGCCAGTAACAATAGGAATAACACCACCTCGGACATCAACCGTGGAGTATAAAGAGCTCGCTGTCCTTGCCCTCAAGTAAGCAGAGCGTGCCACCGAGCTTTCTGTAGCCCATCTAGCAAGGTCCAAGGTGGTGGCATTAGGGTTGTAGTACGGGGAGAGGACCGAATCACGGTGTATGAGTTTAGTGACCAACCTATGAGGCCTAGTGATGGCTGCATGACTGCTTGAGGAAACGACAATGACAAGGACAAGAGAGAGTTCAAGATGAAGAAATGAATATTTAAGCATCTTTAATAGATAGAGAGTAGAGGACAAAATTATTCAGTTGAAGCACCGATAAAGTTTGATCTAAAGCTATTCTAGCTTTTGTTTTCTTTTTAATTTGATCTAAAGCTATTCTAGCTTTTGTTTTCTTTTTAAACACCCACTCTGCGCATATAGAAACTTGTCTACTGATTTATTTGTATGACAAATGAATAAACTGTATAGCTGCAATATATATACTCACACACTGAAAAAAAGCTTGTAAGCATTATATTTAATTTATGCTGACTTCCTAAAATAATTATTAGAAAGATTGGTAATTACCTATCAAAGTGTGTGTCTGTTTGAAAGATTGTTTCTTAACAGTCCACCTTTTTTTCTTCTTGGAGACCTCATCTTTGTACAAAGCAAGGCTGTCATATTTATATGTTTAACTACAAATTCTTTTTCTTTACCTACAATATCTCTATTGGATATATTGAAAAAGAAAAAGTATCAACATAATTTTTATCTCCTTAATGTTGAAAAACATCTATCTTAAAAATATGTGATGCACTAAAGAGCATGTATATACATGATTATTGAAAGGAATACTAGTATTGAACCCCTGAACATCGAACAACCTAAATCCCAGCATATAAATCTATATAGCACTATATACAAGAATGATACTAATTACCAAAGAGCTAGCTTAGGATTCTAGAGAAAAAAGCTCTCTCCCTCTCCGGTTGAAGACTTCTTTTGGTACCAAATATTATAATAATCAAAAACTAAAAACCACTCTAACCACATCACATTTTATACTAGAGCTTTCATTTCGTTTTTGTATTTAATAGCATAAATGGTTTTTCTATCCCAACCTCCAATCCATCCCATCAATAACAACAACTTCCATATTCTACATATCAATTTTTTTCTACTTCTTCTTGATGCTAATTAAATATTAAGATAAAGTCGGTACCTTTTTTGGGGGTATATAAGAATCACACCTTTTTATGTAGAAATAAATGTAAATAACATAACACACCTTTTTTTTGACGACTTGATTAATTATATAATGAAACTTCATCCCCTGCCCAACTGAAAGTTTTGAGTATGTCCACTATCTCTTCAATTTTTGAATGAGAAAAATCACCAACTGTGAACTTTTCCACTATTCCTTTCACTTCAAGCAGACTATGGCCTGGCTCTTTCTTTAGTCCACTACCCTTCAACATCTTTCTTGCCTCTGCAACGGCATCCCACATTCCATCTGAAGCATATAAGTTCGACAATAGAACATACGATGAAGTAGTAACAGGCTCACGTTTTAGAAGCCGTCTAGCCAAGCGTTCACCAATTACAACATCTCCATGCAGTCGACATGAAGAAAGCAAGCTCCCTAATATAACTGGGTCATGCCCAAAAGGGAACTTTTCTATGTACTCCTCAGCCTCATTTAGTCTGCCAGCTCGTCCCAGTAAATCGATTAGGCAAGATAAATGCTCCACACTAGGGGCAATCCCATAGATTTCAGACATGGAATTGAAGTAAGCTTGGCCTTTGTCCACAAGCCCTGCATGATTGCAAGCTGTCAGAAGTCCAACAAATGTAACAGAATCTGGCTGCAAACACCTTTCTTTCATCTGCTCAAAGAGTTCTAGGGCTTTTTCGCCAAGCCCATGATTTCCAAATCCAGCTATAATGCTGTTCCATGAGACAACATTACGACATTTCACTTGGTTAAAAACAGTGTACGCATATCCAATACAACCGCATTTAGCATACATGTTGAGAAGTGCATTACTAACGCCCACATCCTCATCCAGCCTTGTTCTGATGAGATGAGCATGAATCTGGCTGCCATGACGTATTGAAGCAAGGCCAGCACATGCAGCAAGGGCACTGGCATAAGTAAAGTCATCAGGCATTATACCATTTTCTTTCGTCATCTTGTTGAAAACACTCAAACCCTTTGCATAGTGATCACAATGAGAACAAGCAGTAATAAGAGTGTTCCATGAAATGACATCTTTCTCTTCAATCAATTCGAAAGCCTTCATGGCTTCTTCTACCAAATTGAACTTCGAGTACATTGTTATTATCACATTGCCAATAAAGGCAGTGGAGTCAAGATTGAGCTTCACTGTTTGGCAATGCAATTCCATTCCTCCCCACATATCGTCTGCAGAAGTGCAAATTCCCAGAACTCCCACGAAAGTAAAACGATCCGGGATTAGACCTCGTTGGTACATAAGTTTGAACACTTCAAACCCACTTTCTGGTTGCTGGTTTTCTACCAACCCAGTAATAAGTGCATTATAAGAGACACGATTTGGTTCAGAAATGCCACTAAAGACTGATAAAGCATCTTTAAATCCGCCGCATTTCATGTACATTGAAATAAGAGAATTTGAAACGAAAGAGATAGAAGAATAACCCAACTTCATAGATTGAGCGTGAATCTGTTGGCCTTGTGTCCGTGCAAAGAGACTGGCACATGCACTGATAGCACTGGCAAAGATGTATTCATTGGGCACAAGCCGCATTTGAGAAAAAAGGTCAATTGCCATTAGAGGTTCTGCAGACTGGTCATAGCCAGATATCATAGCAGACCAAGTCACAAGGTTTCTCTCAGACATTTCTTCAAACACTTTGCGGGCAAATACAATGTTGCCACACTTGGCATACATATTGAGGATGTGGTTGGAGACGACGACATTGGCTTGCACTCCTGTCTTGACGACAGCAGCGTGAAGCGAAAGACCGCATCGAAACGCCCTGGTTCTGGAACACTGGTGCAAAAGTGAACCAAAAGCAAAGGTGTCGACTATCATTTAGCTTTTTTCTTCATGTATGAAGAGTTTGGAAGGTATTTGTTTTTATGAGCAAAGATAAAATATTTGTCGACAGGAAAAAAAAATAATAAATAAATAAATAAATAAATAAATAAATTGGGTAAAGTGCAAAAGAAAACTCCTGAAATATATTTTATGCTCTTGAAGAAATGTAGAGAGAGAACGAATACTTTTGGTTGAAAGATGAAGGTTTTATTGAATGTTTTAGAGAGAACAAATATAGGAAGAGACAGAGGGCAGAATAAAAATGGGAGAGAAAAGAAAGAAAGTTGAAGGAGGAAAACAGATTTACAGGGAAGAAAATTAGAGAGAGAAAGATAAAACTTTTGGTGGAAAGAACAAAAAAAATTGCGTACAGGTTCTAGAGTAACTTATATATTAATACACACATATGTTTGCAATTGGCATCATTATAAAAATGAAACTAAGAGTTAAATTAAATCTTCACAAACTAAGAATTGTAAAATTAGGTTTGGTTTGTTCGTGAATGGAAGATTCAAACACTAGTAGAGCCTCCAAACCAGGCTTGTCAAAATTGATTGAAATTCACTTTAAATTAGGGTTTTTGTTTTAAGAGTTGAGTTCGTGGTCCAAATCAGAACAGAGAGAGACCTAACAGAACACAAAGATTTGAATGGAAAGCAAACTAGCTTACCAGAGAGTGAGTGAAGCAAAGTGAAGACGTCCGGCGACTATGGCTTAGTGAGCATGCCGGAAACTCCTCTCCGATACCTAGTCGCCGATTGACTTTAGAACATTCGTGGAGAATTTGGTCACTGGTCTAGTTCTCTTCTCATGGCCCATGTCTGCCATGCCTTTGGGCCAACCCATTTGCCCTTAAGGCGGGTTTGAATGAGAGTCTGGATGTCGGGCCTTGAGAGAGCAATGGACCAACCATTTTTAACCGTCACGTATGCAACTTGTTGCATCACTCTCAAACATTACTCTGGTGAAGCCACATCCATTAGCCAAATTCTCGACCCTATGAATCACTAAATCGTTCGCAATATCCACTTCGGACCATCATTTCACCATGTTGATAATTGGTGCACGTTTTTGGAAGAGTCCAAGGAGGACTACTAAAAATCTAGGTAGATTTCTTTAAACAAATGACATGTGAAAAATATGGATACAAAATATTAATCTAGAATATGAGAAATTAATAAAGTAGTAATTGTTGATTTTTTATTTTTTATTTGTAAAAATGAGAAGATCTATAGATATCTCTAGTCAAATGATTTGTGACAAAAATGTATAAAATATCTAGGATCTAGATTATGAGAAAATAATAAATAATTCTATATATATATTTTTTCTTTTGTATAAATTAAAAAAATAAAAGATAATTCAAGGAAAAGTAACTTTAGTGCACTATAAATACGAAGAACATAAGCTATCACATCCCATCTCCTCTTGTAAGGCAGCAGTGCATGATATATCACGGTGGAATAAATGTTCTTAATAACAAAGAAGTGATAAACGTTGATGGTATGAGTATAAAAGATTAATGTAAAAAAAATATTACAAACTCATTATTATTTTTAATTATATCAACTGCAATAAATTTAATATTTGAATTCAATTTTGGAGTTGCATTTGATATTATCATATTTGTGGGGCTAATGTTACATTTGATATTATCATGTATGTTCTAGCAGCTGTCTCAAACCATCCTAAGAACAAAAACCAAAAGAAAGAAAAAAAATATATAGAGAAAATTAAGTATTAATGATCAATTCTAAGCAAATTTACTTTAAAGTGACAATAAAGTCACCAAAAGATGAATGGTACTAAATTTAAAATTTAATTGTCAAAAAGTGACCATTGAGATTTCTTCTTTAAATTACTCTTCACAAATTAGATACTTTCATACTCTCTCTCACACACTAAGACGGATTTGTAGTGTGAAATAATATTGTAATCGGCAAATTTCAATTTCAAAACAAGTCCAATTGAGTTATAATTTTATTCTTTAATTTTGAGTCTCGAGTTTCAAAACGAAATCGAAGATATGGATGTGTGTTTGATGAGAATTATCAAATTAGAAGGGGCAAATGTGTGAATACACTTTATTCTATCACTGGTGAGTTTAGGTGTAGGCATTTAGAAATATTTAAGAGAAGTTATAGGTCTTTCGATCTCAATTACCGACTTCTCCTCCGAATACAACGTGGTTGGGAATGAGTCGAAGAGAAAGAGATGTTTACGGAAATTTTTTTAAGAGTTCTAAGGTAATCCAACTATGTTGTATTCGGAGGAGGAGTCGGCAATTGAGTTCGGAAGACCTATCATTTCTCTATTTCAAAAGATAGTTTTCTAAAAAGTGCACTACCTTTGCGGAGTCGGTCGCGCTCTCAGCAACTGGTTGCGCAGTTGATTTTCAAATTTTGATTTTGAATTATAACTCACTGGTCTAACAGAAACGGTTGCGTTTAAGCGAAACCAGCTGGGAACAAATTGGTCGTTTCTTTCCTATTCCAATTAGGTTACATTTTTTATTAGAATATTGGGAGACTAAAACAACACCACTTGATTTTGTAAAGTAATAAATAACCTAAAACACAACACCACTTGATTTTGTTGGAGGACACAGAACAATATATATATTTTATTAGAGCAATGCTTTTAAGATGTATGAACTCTCTTATTTTTTAACTTAGGTATTGTATGAAAATTCAATTTAGCGTTTAATTATGAATTGCTTCAGTACTTATCCAATTAAATGCCTTTGATTACGAATTTTGAATATCACTAAAACGGTAAGCTGAATATATCATTTCTATATACGCTGATTCTATTTTAACATTTTTCTTCTTGTTACAAAGTCAAAGTATCTAAAGAGAAATACAGTATTATTTAAGATTATTCCGAGAAAGATCCCGTATGGTTAACAAACATAACATTTTTAAGTGGCACAATTGAAGAGGAATTTCACCATCAAAATTATTGGATTTGAGGAGAAGAATACTCAATGAGGAAACTTAGTCAATCCAGTTTGAAATGTTACCGGTTATTGTTTTCTCTGAGATCCAACGTTACCAACAACGAACAGTTGTAAAATGCATTTGTTCTTTTTGGGCAAAATAGTTGAAGCGAATATTGCTGAAGCTTTGACTTAAGTTAAGGGTGCTATGAGTGACTCGGTTCAATTGATTGATATTATTTTTGAATGAGTTATAAGATGTTTGTTGATAGTATGCGGTATGCCTATTTGGCTTGGTGGACTCTTGAATATCAATGAATATTTTATTTTACAGGGAAAAGGATAAAAGTAAAACAAGCAATTACTAAAAATATAAAAGTGAATTTTCAATTGTATTGGTATTTCAGAGAAAAATGTGACTTATCATTTCACATAAAGAGCAATGGGCTGCTATATGAGTTCTCAAATTCAAAATTTGAGAGGTGGGTAAAAAGTGAGCTCTCCAATGGGCTCTCATTTGGGCTCTTAAAATTTGAGATTTTCAAATCTCCTCTTAAATATAAGAGCTGCCAAATTTTTTTGACAAGTCTCTTATTGCTCTACACGACACCATTTCTTTTCTCTCTCTCTCAATCTCTCATTTGCCCCTTTCGTTGCATTCTATCTCAGTCCCCTTCGTGTCGTCTCTTTCCCCTTCTCATCTGTAACGATCGGCAATCACCATCACCGATCCATCGACCATGACCCAATTAATTGGAACCCAATAACACCATTGCTCACCCAATCAGAACCCAAGAACACCAACATACATCTTTAGTTGTCGCACCTCTCATCATCTCTAGCTTCCACGACCATTGCTGCCACCCCACCGTAAAAACCAATATATTCAGAACCCACCACCATTTCTTACCGTTGATTCCCCCCTACATTCATTTCCGAATGGTACGATGACAAATTAATCTTAAAATTAGGGTTGTGATTAGCTTCAATCTATAGATTGTTGGGCAAAAGGAATTAGGGTTTGAAATTCAAAATATGACAAAAACAAAGTAATAAATTGAAAAAAAAAAAAAAAAAATTGTAGAGAAAGATATCATAACATACAAAGCTAAACCCAGAAAATAAACCACCAAAAGAATATATAAAACAAAATACCATGGCCATGGCAGCGACGAAGGGTGGAAAATGAGGTGGAGAGGATAGAGATAGTGACGGCAGTGGGTGGAGAGGAAAGAGAATATGTAATAATTTCATTTTTATGTGGGTCTCATATAGTTGATATATATTTATTTGTGTGGTGTAAAGAAAATGAAAAGAGATAAAAAGAAAATAAAAGAAAATGGTGGGCCCACATGCCTTTTAAAAATAAGGCCAAGAGGCCATTTTGATCACACAATCTCTCTCTCCCGCAACCCTTTTCCTCTCTTTCCTTTTCTTGATTTTTTCTTTTTCTTTTTGTCTCAAACTTCCAAATTTAATTTCTCTTTTAATACTTGGAGTTTTTGAGTGCCGTTTGCGGCAAATTAACGAGCCCATCAAGATCTACGAATTGATTGGAACAATTCCTTATTTGGTGCACTCTACGAAATTCGAGATCTAAAGCACAAATTGGGGGTTTTTGCTTAATTTGAGGTAGGGGTCTCTAATACATGTAATCTTTGATTTTGGTGAATTATTTCTCTATTATTTGACTCCACCATATCTTAATTATATGATTTTGTTTGTCGTTATATGGGTTATGTGTAATAATCATGCTAGTTGTATTCTTATGTGAGAAATTGGTGCTATGAACATGTTTTAATTGAAATTATATGAAAAAACATGTTAAGTTTAAACTCCCTATATGCCTAGAATGTTATATGTTATGAATTTGAATTCGATTTTTGTTGAAGCTTTTGAGTTAATTATTTTATTTTATTTTGTATACAAGAATGATATATATAAAATATGTAGAAATTGATATTGACATGACATGGAAAGGCATGATGCATTCATGTATGGCATTGGGCAGAAAATAGAAAATTTGATTTGAAAAGGGAAGAAATGATTTTTGGGGAAATGATTTTTTTATGAAAGGGTTTGCGAAAAACCCGACCGCCTAGGAGTTGCCTAGGGACCGTAGGGTTAATGTGACCTAGAGGGAACTAGGGAGACTACCCTAGCATGGTTAAGTTAACTGGGCCCCAAATGATGCCCTAGAGTTGCCTTGTGGTCAGGGACAGTTAGCCAATCATTCTCTCGTGCCGCCATGGAGCTGCCATGAGACATGTTGCATTAACGGTTTAGAAATGGTGGTAGAAATGGTTTTAGAAAATGGGAAGTGACATTGCGTGACATTGCATGACATTGCATCTCATTGCACAACATAAGTTTAATTATGACTTAGACTGTCGATTTTGTTGCTATGTTTACCCCTATACAGCATGATCCCACTTCTCTATTTTTCTATCATTATTTAGATTCACGGGGTCACAAGAGGCGTGCCTTAGGCACCACCTATTGAGCAATTTGCTCACCCCTTATATTTAACATTTTTCAGGACACGGAAGGAAAGTGGCGGACGACGCTCTTCCACAGGGTTCAATGGGTTAGTAGACCGTTTTGACATACTTTATTGCTATGACCTCATTTTAGTATTATTTATTTATTATTATTATTATATAAACCCTGGGATGTCACGTATATTATGTATTGATATAAGAAAGGATAGTAGTGCCCTTAGTTGACATCGGGTTCGGGTAAGAACTCGGTTAGCGATTTCGGACCCTCAAGTTCGGGACGTTACAAAATTGGTATCAGAGCAATGGTTCGAAAACCATTAGGACAACGGGTAGAGGCCTACCTAGGATTGCATGGGAAGTTGAATTGCATTGTTTATGTGCCTATGTGTTAAAGTGATTGTTATTTGAGAAGTATGCTTATTTGTTTAATTGCTTATGTGTTTATGATTTTGGAAAACATGCTTACTTGCTTACTTGCTTATTTGCCTATGTGACCACATATTTATGTGTTTAAAATAATGTATGCTAT